ATTGCCTGAGCAACGATAAAGTCTGCATTCTTTTGTAGCTAACTCCATCCATGATATATTAATATGGCTCAGAATGTTATGTCACATTTGCCAATGAAAGACCTACTACAAGTAGAATAGATAAAAATAGTCCGATTTGTTTAATTTTAGTATGCAGAATGTAACGCTCCATAAATATGATTATTGTTTTAAAGGATGGGAATTTGAAGCCAGGTGACCAATTAGTGACTGTGAATGGTGAAAATATGATCAATATTACCAATGAAGATGCTAAGGCTATTTTAACAAGATTAAAATTGAGGTAAGTTAAGTTACACATGTCTACTTGACATAGGTAGCCAGCTTAGTTTTTTGTCTACATTCAAAACCATATTTAAATTTACTGGATTCTTATATCCATTTGGTTCATAATTATCAGTGCATGGCCTATCAATCCTTTCCATATTGAGGAGTTTTGAGCCAGGGTGTCAGAAAAGTTACCTTGGTGGTTTGTGGCTACCAAAATATCACATCAAAATATTGATGGGAAAGATTAAGACGCTCGAGCATTATAAAGATTGTTCTTGATAATGTTCTCTCTTTCAGGTCATCACCTAGCACAGAGATCGCCTATGCGAGGGGAGTGCCATACAAGACATTAATATCGCAGCCTTTAATGCTACCTACATCTCCAACTCAGGGAAATTTACCATATTCACAACATTCCAATTCATCTCACCCCGTTCATTCATCGTCTCATTCGCCCTTGCCAATTCCATCCCAGCATGCACCGGTGCATTCACCAATTCCTTCCCATCAGTCTTCAGTGCAGCATGTATCACCACCACAGTTACAATCATCAAGGCAACCATTCAAACAAAGCGGAAATGTGACACTACAACATCAAGGTGAGATTATACATTATACATTATTTTTTGTTTTGTAAGTAAATCAGTAACACAATTCTTTACTTTGGTTGTTGAAAAGTGTTGTCATGAAAGTTGTTTTCAATGTTCATTAACAAAATATTTATGAACAACATTACAACTGCCATAACAGTTACACATTAAAAGCTGTAATGCAAATTGCCCTTGACATGTTTAACCTTTTCATCACCAATTCACAAAATAAAAAAAATAAAATAACTTAAATGGCACAGTACATCAGGTTTCGATCAGTACATCTCACAAACACTGTAACTTTCAAATTTTATTTTTGGACAAGTTACTCAAAATTAAACACTTGCAGCAACATAAATTTTTCTGCCAGAATTTTGCAGACTTTTATGTATTATTTCTGTAATTTCTTTGCTATTTTTAGACAAAATATGCAAGCTTATATTTTACACACAGACAACAGGTAGAATAGAACTCACTATTGAACTGTGAACATAAAACCTTTACTAAAATTATATCTGTGTTGACTGTGGAAATGTTATGATCTATATGCATCATACCAGGCAGTATTATCAGTTTGTGGTGGTGTTTTTCTGGCACCATATGTCTTGAGTACAAAAACATGAAAAAGCCTTCTTTAATTAATAAATATTCAAAAGCAAATGTACCGGTATTGGAGAAATTAATTTCACAGTTGTACCAAGACAATAATGGTATGCAAAAAAACTCTCAACAAAAATTAATAGCAAATATGATTTCATAAATTATAGAGGTGTTTCTTTAGTTTATTAGTAAAAGTAAGTAATATTTTAATCATTCATTGTATAACAATTGTAATTTTTAGTCTATATGCAATTGTAATAATAGAACGAATATGGTATTTAATCTTCAACTTTTTATTTGTTGACTGGACTGGACCTGTCGTCATCTGTCCATCATACGTACGTTGTCCACCACCTTTTTTTCAAGCGACTTCTTCTCCCAAACCGTAAGGTAGATCACCTTGCTATTTATAGCACAGCTACCTGGGGGTGGTTCTCTGTCAGATTTGTTCATTGTCTGTGTATTACTCGCATTTAACAATTACAGCGGAGCTCTTTCGACCGCAAGGTCACTTGTTCATATCCTTATCCTATTTATTTTATTCTAGTGCGATGTGTTGCATTAATTTTATTTTCTGCAATTACGCATACTGTGGAATACTTTATTTTATCCAGCGAATATACTTTTTTTCCTATATTTCACATTAAACTCATCAAAAATCAGTGAAAATAAATTCCATACAAAACGCCCAAAAAGTCTTTTCAGCGAAATTAATTCTAGCGAAAATAAAGTATTCCACAGTATTATAAAATTGTTACTGCATTTTTATGTCCAACTAATAATAGATTTATATTGATGTTATTCCAAAAATAAATGAGTCTATTTTGGCAACACCGTACAAATGACCTGTCATACATGTACTAGCCTGCAGTACAACAGCACGTAGTAATCAATGTATGCATCTGTGCTGACTAGGTCATTACCAAAGATTTGCAGTGTGTCATGGCATTCAGTGAAGTGATCGGCAGTGAGGTATTACCAGCATATTTACCAATACACTCCTCAATGGAAGGTAAACATGTGACATCACGGTTATCAATATCTCTGTGTATTTCTAGCAACCCTAGTAATGTGGGTAGCTCGCACAAGGGCCTTGTATTTAATTGCCATGCCAATCAAGGTGTTTCAATGCTTGTTTTTTTGTTTTTTTTGCAGGTGTTTCAACTCCATTATCTCCAATAACAATGAATGGCCATCCATCGATACCAGCTCATTTACACAAAAGTTTATATATGCAACCAAAAATGACATCAACACCGCATACCACAAATGGTGAGCTCAATTCTCTATCTCTCTCTCTTTAAAAAGACTTAGTTTATGCATTGTGACAACGTTTATTATACAATGATTTTACACTACATCATATGGATGTGCAAATTAGTATACTAGTATGTAACACAAAAATGATATATTTTGACCTTTGACCCAAATACAATGGTGTGTCTAAAATTAAAACTTATCAAGATCGGATAGCCAGCATTTCTGTCTTTAGTGACCCATATATCACTCTCGTCATGCAGCAGCCATTGCTGAATGTTTTCTACAATTTCCCATTGAGGAAATGTCTCTGCGGTGAATCATAGGTCTTGATCGTTACATGAGGGGTGAAAAAATAAGGCTCGGGACACAAATAAGTCAGAATGGTTGTTGCATATATATAATAAAAGCCAATTGTCATCTGTTCTTGATGATAAATAAGAGTTCAAAGTTGAATTACAAATTGAATTAGTTATATATAGCTCACAGGTTAGGTGCAATGATTCGTTTTTAAATTTTGTGGACTTAGTTGACTATGTTGCAGTAGCAGATAATACAAGCTTGCTGCATGGTAACAGATTAGCACTGCAGTTGTATCTTGCGAGGTTTCAAATTTTGTAAAGAATCCTAAAAACTAACAGTAGGTCAGATATACTATCTTTTATATCTACAATGATACAAATGATTATACTTCTAATAACAAAATTCACTACGTTCAATTACCCACCATAGACTCCAGTCAGTCAAAATGACTATTTTGAACTGTAGCCATTAATCAGCAATTCTGCCGGTAATGGAGAGATAGAATCTGTCAGGAGAAGCCCCATGACCCTAAGATTCGCTTTCCCTTAGGTCACGAACCACGTGACCGAGGCCATATGGCAGCGCCATTAACGGCTGTACAATCACTCTTTTTTTTATCTCCGCCTCGTTGGGAATGATTCTGAGTGACTCTGCCTGGCTCATTTGCCTTTTCCTGTCCGGGTTTCTAGCGTGGGTTATTGTCAGGGTTTTTACCGTGAAGGCGTGTGTTTTTCACTGGAGTTCTGAGGCCTGAGATTTTTCTTTCAGAGCCATCAAAATCGCTGAGACTGGCCGCGTCGCTCGTTTCTTCACAGCAAGGTCGCGCGTCCAGTAAACAAATCGGTTAAAGTGAGTTGCGTGTTTGGCATGAGTGGAAAGTCCTCACGCTCGACTACCGGTGCTTCGTGTACCGGGACGTCGAGTAGGATGCCCAATGGTGGAGGTACCGATATTTTTTCTCGGCCTCCCTCCCCCCTCCTTCTTGGGCACTGAATGCCAACAGGGTGCTGGCAGCCAAGCCTCCGACCTCGGGGCAGGGCTTTCAGGGCGGGGCACACGTTGACCCCCCCCTACTTTCAGCCAGCCAGGATTCAATTTATCCTTGTGTCCGGTCTCCGCTGTGGGTTTTGACTCCTTTCTTACCAACCCATGGGCGTTCTTAGAGGGAACCGACCCTGTCATGAGACACACAGTCGAACACGCTCCCTCTCACATATTTAAAGTGAAATGAGACTCAGTTCGCTCGTGTCGGATACAGCCGGTACTCCGGGCAGATCCCTCAGTGTCTTCCATCCGTAATGACTCGGTGAGCCACGCTTATGGGGTGATGCGGAGTATCATCGATCCCAGTGATACGATATAAATACCCCAACCCTTCAACGCTTATGGGATCACGGGAGTCGGGATCCAAGGCAACCCCGTCGGAACGTCTCTCCCTGTCCGTCCGAGTGCGGAGTGGGGCGCAGGGCACACAAATGGTGTTGATGGGCGGACGTTGGTCATCCGCGGAGGACGTAACGCTTAAGTCCCCCGGGTGGGGAAAACATTAGGCAACACTTCCCGCTGGGATGAGACCAAAACGCCCCCAACTGAATCCCAAGGCTTCTTCCCCAGACCCCGGTACCACGAATTTCCGTTTGGCAAACCGGGCAAAGAGGGACAGCCGTGTTCCATGGGCGTTCTCACCAGCTCAATCAGAGACGACCCATCCAGCCCTGAGGGCAGAGTTGCTTGAATGTCCCCACCTCAGTGACACAGACTGGACATCTTCCACCCTCTTTGTTCAGGGAATGGTGGGTACAGTCTCGGAGCTTCGGAGTGCAATGAACCAGAGGATTCATATCGAATCCACTAGGTAGTTGGCCCTGCCAAGGGCAAGCGGAGGGCACCCCAAGCACAGAAAACACACCGCCCTAGGGCGTCGTCCGCTAGCCAGAGTCAGCCAGGAGGCAAGCGCTCATACCCTTCCATGGGAGGGAAGAGTAGTGGCACGCCCCCAGGGAGGAAAGATTCAGGTGGTGGCTCCTCACCCTCCCTGGGCGGATGTCTACCCCGACAGCGGGGGAAGTGTGTTTTACGCTCACCTCTGCAAATAGTGACTACTTCAGGCCTTGGGGAAGTCACCTCATGGGAGAAGAGAGCCGAAACTAAGTCCAGGCTTCTACCCAATTGTGTTTGTAGTACCAAATCTACAAGTGGCAGGCGTCCAGTTCTGGACCTAGGCAGACTGAATCAGTACATGCTCCTCGATCGGTTCCACATGGAGACACCATTCAGGGTTCTTCTCTCCATCCACCGTTTCGACTGGCTAGCCCCACTTGACTTAAGCGGGGCCTACCTGCACATACCGATGCACCCAGCGAGTTGCCATCTCCTTCGAATCGCCCAGCTGGGCCAAGTATTCGAATTTTGAAGGGTCGTTCCCCAGGCCGCACTAAGCAGCCGCCCGGTATAACGCTTGTTATAACGCCGACCTCTCCTATGGGAACTAGATAGGCGGCGTTTTGATCTTGGACCAAGTGAAGGAAGCCCTGCCCTGGTGGCCGTCACTGGCCAACCTCGGACAGGGGGCCCCCTTGGACCCACTCGCCGCAGGTATGACTCTGGTAACTGATGCCTCCTCCCAAGGTTGGGGAGCGCACCTATTGGACGAACAAGTCCAAGGATATGGACCCTGCATTAGTTTTGGGACTACCATATCAACCGGCTCGAACTGAAAGCAGTATACTTAGCTCTACCACGCTTTCTACCCGTAGTTCGAGACCACAGAGTCCTGCTCTGCACAGGCAACGCAGCGGTGGTCTCCTTCAAGAAGGAAGGGGGGGGCGCGTTCCTCATCGTTGTCAGTCCTAGCGGAGCAAATCCTCCTTTGGTGCCTGGAATACAATGTGGAGCCAACCGCACACCACCTTCCAGGGGTGAGGAACAGTCTGGCAGATGCCAATTCAGGGCGGCTCCATCGCCAGAACACGGGGTGGCTGATACAAGCCTCCAGGCTGTTTCGGCTGTAGAACGGTCCAAGGTTAGACCGGTTTGCCGCACCCCGAAACGCCAAGCTCCCGACGTACGTAACACTCCTGCCGACTCCAGGAGTCTGGGCCAGGGTCACTTTGCTAACCCTGTGGACCCACTTAGTTGTGTACTCCTTTCCTCCTTTCCTGCTAGTTCACCGAGCACCGGAGAAAACTTCGACAGGTGCACACATTATTATTGGTCGCACCCAATTGGCCAAACAAGGCCTAGTTTCCACTTCTATCGGAAATGCTAGTCGAAACACCACTAGTGCTTTCGGACTTACCGGACCTGCCGTCCCAACCAGACGGCGCACTACCAACGAGCCCAGCATGTATCACTTACAAGCATAGAGGCTCTCATTAGACCCGCATATACGAAAGCTTTATCTGAGCAGGCTGCCAACGTCCTGGCCAGGGCGAACAAGGATTCCACCAATGCAGCCTACATTTCTAGGCTGCGATCATACACTGATTGGTATAGCGGAAGGGAGATTGATCCATACCATCCCTCTATTGGCCAGGTAGCAGGCTCCTTCGTCCACCTGTTTGACAAAATGAGTTTGTCCTACGCAACGATCGTTGGCTACAGGTCGGCCTTGTCCCCCACCATTGAAAACGTACGGGAACAAGACTAGCTGATTGTCCTATTATTAGGAGACTATTTACTGCTTTCCAGACACCAAGACCCCGTACAAGGGAACCGCCCAACTCGGACTTGTTGGCTGTGTTGTCCGCTCTAAGCAGACCACCCTTTGAGCCTCTCTGATCAGCACCACTCAAATTTTTTGACGTGGAAAATAGTCTTCCTACTGGCCCTCACCTCGGGTAGGCGTCGACCAGAGCTGGGGGCATTGTCCTTCTTGGATGATGTACTGCCGTTATGGACAATCAAGTTGTGCGAAAAAAATGAATCAGGTTTCTCGCCTAGAACCAAATCCCAGGACACGATCCTCACCCGATCATCATCCCCCGGCTGTCAAATTTTTTTTGCCTGGAGGGTCAGGAGGAATTGCTTCTCTGCCCGGTTTGAGCAGGGAGTTGCTACCAAACCGTACTAAGGATTCAGGACAGGGTGCAAGGCACATGTCTTTGTATTTCAGCCCAGGCAGGCAGGATAGGCCGGCCTCCCCAACTTCCATAACCAGGTGGTTCACTGCGACTGTAGTAGAGGTCTATAATACTTTAACTTTCTTGACACAGAGCTTGCAGAGACACCAAGTACGAGCGCATGAGGTCTGTGCGATTGCCAACTCACTAATGTTAGCGTCAGGTGCCCCCCTCGAGCATACACAGAGGGCAGGCTTCTGGAGAACGCAGAACGTCTTTATCAACTACCACCTAACAGACACCGAATCCATTGAGGAAGGTCTCTTTAGGTTGGGTCCCGTCGAAGCGGGTCAGTCTGGTTTGCTGATCCAGCCTGAATGACCACAAGGGTCCTTGCGCATAGGCAATAAGTCAGTCTCGGCATTTTATGCGGACAGATTTCTCTACCGTCAGCACTCTCCTGGAAGCTCCCAGGTCCTGCTTTGCAGCCTATGCCCTCATGCAGAACTGTTTCGGTTTTTACTTCAAAAGCTTACTACTCCCCAGAATTGGGTTGGGGTCTAGCTTTCTCGGGCACACTGAACCCTGTCACCGTAGCAGCATTTTGGCTTCTTGCTCCGGGGACAGCACAGGCAAGGTAAGACACC